TGAAATATAGATTTGTGGGCTTTAATGTTTACTGAATGAAGCAGGATCAACAATTAAATAGACAGCGTGTGTCTATGATATAAATCCATTGAAAACCGCATGGAAGGAAATGTGCCAATAAAATAAGCAGGTTCCATCCTGGTGGTGGGATTATGAGTGATCGTATTTCTTTTTATTTAACATCTCTAATTGACTATGGTAAGCACGTCAATTACATAAGTACCAGGAGTAAAGAGCAAAGCAGGGAAACCCCGTTACCCACCCCACCCTCCCCAGCCCCCCCACTCCCTTCCCTACTTAGTTTGTTACTGATACTTCTAGATGTTTTCTTTGAATCCACCATGTATTGCTTTTAAAACTTACACAGACAATCAGAAAAATCATGAGGTGAGGGGAGAAAACAAAAGACTCTCAAAATGAATCTGGACATCATAAAAGTATAGAGATTTTTACCAACAAGTCTCTGTTTAAGGATGAGAAAGTGGGGCTCAGGGCTGTTGGGTAGCCTGCCAAGCTCACATGGTGTGTGCCTGCTCCTGGTGCCCAGTTCAGTGCTGCTTCTGGGTTCACATGCCCTCGAGATCTGGGAGGAGGCTGGGAAGCTGGGCTGGAGGGAGGCCAGGAGGATGCTCTGGGATGAGTGGGCTGGGCTGGGGTGAGGAGCCTTCTGCCTGTTTGTTCTGGGTACCAGGAGATGCGGATGGACAGACACCCTGGCAGAAAGGACCAAAGTCCTGATTTATGGCCTTGGAGGAGTTAATGTGTAATATTCTAGGATATAAGCTGGGCTGTGAGGTGAGACCCTGAGCCCAGATCTCCGGGAGCCACCGAGAGCTGCCATCAGGAGCTGCCACCATGTCGGTGAGGATGCTGGCTCCCCACTGCCCACCTCCTCCAACCCTCTGCCTCTTTGCCTGAGGGGGGATGGGGTGGATGCTGGCGGAAGAGCATCGCTGCCCCTCCAGCCTCCGTTTCCTCATCTGTATACTGAGGAAGTTGGACAGATCACCTCTACAACCCACCCCCTTTTTAAAAAAATATTTATTTATTTACTTGGCTGCGCCGGGTCTCAGTTGCTGCACGCACGGGATTTTTAGTTGTGGGCATGCGGGATCTGTTCCCCAACCAGGGATCGAACCAGGTCCCCTGCATTGGTAGTGTAGAGTCTTAACCATTGGACCACCAGGGAAGTCCCTCCACAGCCCTTTAGCACCAAGGTTCTCTGCTCCCTCCACCACCATTCTTAGCCTGTTTCTTTCCCCCTCTAGCCTCAGTTTTCTCATCAGTAATTTTCTTTTTTGTTTTTGCCTATCCCCCTCAGCTTGTGGGATCTTATTTCCCTGACCAGGGATCAAACCCAGGGCTCCCTGCAGTGGAAGCGCTGGAGTCCTAACCTCTGGACTGCCAGGGAATTCCCTCTCATTAGAAATATTAATCGTGGCAATAATAGTCACTGCTAACATCTATAGACATCTTTAACCTATTAAAGATGAAGAACTGAGACTCGAAGATTAACTTGCCCAAGATCACAATCTGTAAATGGCAGGGGTGGAGGTTCTTTGAGGTCCCTTGCTAATTCTTTTTTTTTTTTTTTTGTGGTACGCGGGCCTCTCACTGTCGTGGCCTCTCCTGCCGTGGAGCACAGGCTCCGGACGCACAGGCTCAGCGGCCACGGCTCACGAGCCCAGCCACTCCGCGGCATGTGGGATCTTCCCGGACCAGGGCACGAACCCGTGTCCCCTGCATCGGCAGGCGGACTCTCAACCACTGCGCCACCAGGGAAGCCCCCTCACTAATTCTTTTATTGCAAACCCTGCTCTGCCATAGCCTCCTGTGTGGCCTTGGACAAGGTACTTTGACAAGGTACCCTCTCTGAGCCTCAGTCTCCCATATTTGGGGAATTGGATCACAGATGGCATCTCCTGAGGATGGTATATTGGTTTGCTGAGGCTGCCATAACAAATTTATTCTCTCAAAGTTTTGGAGGCTTGGGGTCTGCAATGCAGGTGCTGACAGGGACATGCTCTCTCTAAAGGCTCTAGGGGAGGATTCTTCCACATCTTTCCCAGCTTCTGTTGGCTGCCGGCAATCTGTGGCCATCCTTGGCTTGTAGCTGTATCCCTCCAAACTCTGCCTCCGTCTTCACATGGTCTTTTCTGTGTGTCTGTGTTTCTGGGTCCAAATTTCCCTCTTCTAATAAGGACACCGGTTGTATTGGATTTAGGGCCCACCCTCAGCCACTACGACCTCACCTCAACTTGGTCCTATTTCCAAATAAGTCTCATTCACTGGCTCCGAGTAGACATGGTTTTCCGGGAGACAATATTCAAGTCAGCACAGGTGGGATGCAGGGTGTGGATGTGACTGGAGGGTCCAGCATGGATGGCACGGTGCTCTCCCCACCCTCTGCCTCCCAGGGAGGACCTCTGTGCCCAGACACTTTCCCTA